GAGCCGGCCGAGAGCTCATGTGGAAACAAGCCGGCCCTCGGCCGCTGCGCCCGAGCGCGAGGACGGGGCCCTGGAAGCCGCGCAAAGGCCGGCGCGGCTCCGGGTAGGAGGTCCTGAAATGCGTCTCCTCGGGTCCGGCCCGGCGGTGTTGTTGACAGTTTCAGATTAACTTAGGGGGCCTGTTTAAAATCTTTGATGACGTTAAATAGTTGTCCAAAAAGTGTGATACCCTTTGGGCTTCAGTAGTTATTACTGAAGTTTGCCAGTTTTTTTTTTTCGTCCTTGAAACCGACTACAAAGGAGACGTGTGTGTGACTGTGTTTGAGACAGGGTCTAGGCTGACCTCAAATTGGGCAGTCCTGCCTCAGCCTCCCCATTGCTGGTTTATAGGCGTGCACCATCACACACAAGGTGTGTATTTTTTTGTTGTTTTGTTTTGTTACTATAGTGTGGTGGTCTTGGTCATTTAGAGATGTTACTATGTCTACTGCTGTAATTTCTTCCGTGTGTGTGTGTTGAGACACGGTTTTGCTGTATAGTGCCCGGCTGTTTTTGAACTCGCTATGTAGCCTATGCTGGTTTCCACTCGTGGTTCCTATCTCAGCCTCCCAAGTGCGGGATTACAGGTGTGCGCCTCCGTGCTAGGTTGTCCATGTACTTTTAATTGATACCTTTAATTGTTGCTCCTCTGGGATTGTACTCTAAGGTAAGGAGGCCTTTGGCTTTTAGTCGCTTTCCCCTTTCCGTTCTGAATGCTAGGAACAGGGCTGGGGAGACAGCTCAGTAGAATAAGTGCTTGCCTGGCAAGCACAAGGGCCTGAGTTCAATCCTCGGTTCTGCCAAAACAAAACAGAGCAACAACAACAACAAAAAACCCTCAACTGAATTGTACAAACCCTTCTATTACTGCTAGGGTTGAAGTTCAGTTTCTTCCCAGCTCTCCATGACCAGTCTGACCTTAGCCCTCTTTGTGCGGCCCCCATAAGTCTTGTGCTCTTTTTGAGTTACTTTTTGCTAGACTGCTGGACTTGACTGAATACTTGGGTTCAATCCCAGGTTTTGATTTTACTGTATCGACTGGTTAGGTCTTCTCACCCTTATATTCCTGCCTGTAAACTAGTGTTTTGTAGCTTTTTATAAGGATTGTTGTAAAACTCAAATGAGTATAGATGTTGAAAGTATTTTTAAAAGGCTGCCTGCAGGACCCTTCTCAGCACCTTTCAGAATCCTCCCAGTCCCAGCTTATCTCCTTCCTCTGCTTTACATCTAATTTCTGACTACCCTAACCCACAACAGTCTCACTCTTCTGTGTCAAAATATTTATCAAACTTGGTGTCTGTGCTATTTATTTTAGTGCATAGTCACATATTCAGTCAAGCTTGCCAAATAGACTGTAAGCTCCTACAGGCAGACAGGGTTTGGGTTCAGAGTCCTGTACACATCTTGGGTCCTCCATGTGTTTGCTGAAAGATTTCTACTAAACTTGGTGGTGTTTTAACTCAGTATCCATCCTATACCCTAGCCTGAAAAAAGAAAATGGCTGAACTACATGATCCACTTTTGCTAAAACTGCTTTGGTTGTACTGGGATTGGACTTAGGATTGTCACACCAACCTATATCTCAAGCACTTTTGTTTTTTTTGTTTTGTTTGAGACAGGTCATTAATTTGCCCAGACTGTACTCACATTCACCATCACCCTGCCTCTGCCCCTTGAGTGCACCACCATGCCCTTTTTTTTTAAGAAAAGACTTGGTGGTTCTGGGTTTGAATGGAGGCCCTTGTGCAGAATATTAATTAAGCAAATGCTCTGCTTCAGAGCTCTACCCACTGTACCAAAGACCTCTAAAAGTAGTGAGTAGTCATTCCAATTAAAATGAATAATGAAAATTCATAAAAATGGTAATTTTACACATAAAATTGTCTTGAACACTCTCCAGAAAGTATATTAGTTGATGATTCTCCTTCTCTATAAAATTATGGTAAGAGTTTAGACCCTATTTGATTTTTTTTTAAAGAGCTGTATCATTGGAGAGAAATTGAGTGTATCCCCAATTTTTGAAGAGAAGTTTTTAATTTTGAGTATGTTAAGACTTGAATCTGTTTTTATTTGGGGTTTGTTTGAGATAGTGTCTCAGTATAGAGTACAGACTGGCCTTGAACTTATTGTGACCCCTCAGCCTCAACCTTCCAAATGTTGGGATAACAGTCCTGCACCACCATGTCTGGCCAGATTTAAATGTCTTGCAAGTAATTCCTCTGGGTGTCAGAGCCCAATCTGATGTGTCTTGGTGGGTGGCTTTTTTACTGTGTTAAACTTTGAGCCATGGATTTTGTGAGTGTAGAGTAAGCAGAACTTAGTCTCTTTAGGAAGAGAGATCCTTTTTACTTCAATTTTCAAGTGATTCTAGCTGACTGTTTGGCCTTGGAGCTCAGTCCAGAAGGTAAGCCTGTGAGGGGAGCAGTGGTGTGTTCCATTTTAATAGATCCTCCTAGTGGGAGAGTTCTCAGCTGCTGGATTCTGATTGGAGAGCGCAGTTGCAGAGAAAGGAGAACAGGAGGAACACTCCTTAGTCATCGTTATTTTTGGGAACTCTGTATGTGAATTTGAGCTCATTAATATCCTTTACAGAAGGAATACTGTTAGTTCATACTTTTTTTTTCCCCCTGCAAGTGTATTCCCCAACTGTTGCTGGAAGAGGAGAACTTAT